AATTAAAATTATCTGAAATTGTTTGGGGTTTTTTTTCATTGTTATTTCAGATACAAAAAAATAAATACAGTTTATATATACCATACTGACTTTGAGTTGTAGTGGAGTATTTTTAAAGCATGACTTTAGTATTTCTTTTGACGGAGGGGTGAAGATGGCCCAGTTTGAGCCCAGGTCAAACCAGAGATAAACACTAGGGATGTCCCGATCACCTTTTTTTGCTCCCGATCCGATTCCGATCATTTGATTTTGACAATTTGCCGATACCGATTTTTCCCGATCCGATCTTTATGCAATGCATTAAGAGGAAAAAAAGCATTCAAGTTGTCCCTTAAGGTTATCTTTTTATTTAAATTGGATATTCTATCCAACATGGATATAGCTTATTTTTTTCACAGCAGCATTGGATCAGTTCAGTTGTGCAGCATTGGATCAAAACAAAATAAAGCTTTCAGTACTCGTTAGCTTACTGCTATAATTAGACACTGCGCCCTGCCCACTCTGTTGCCAGATTTGAGAGAAATAAGCAACCAGGTCTATGAAAACAAGCCCCAAAGAAGCAACACATACATGATGTTGTGTAATTTGAAACCAAAACTAAGGCCTCAGGATGACTTTAAGACTTGAACATGGTCCTTTTTGTTTTGTAACATTGAATACAAAATTTAAAAAAAGTATTTAAAAAAAAAAAAAAAAAATCCCGATCCCCGATTTTTTTCTCCCGATTCCGATCTTCTGAAAATCCCGTGATCGGATCGGGACATCTCTATTAGTAAACTAAGATTTCTCTTTGAATGCTTTTCCACTTATTTCCAAGAAAAGCACATTGCTAGTAAACACTATTTAAAGTGATTCTCCATAATATCAACTAATAGTTTCATTCATTCAAACGTATTCTCTGAATTATTTTTCTATGATTTTCTTTCTGAGAAGAGCCTATTCTGTAAGTATCAACAGATCTGCAATGCTTAAAGTCCAAACTGCTCTATCTTCTATACGCACTCATGTGTTCATATTATTTATAAAAGCGTCAAACAACAGTCCATAGAGTTTTAAAATAGTGTCTTTATTGTACTGTCTATATTTATACAAGCTTCATAGTTTATTCAATATGTATACTACTGTTCATACTCTATATACTTGAGCTTTTTACATATAAATGCTTCTCTTGCACCTCTGGTCTGATGGTAACTGCATTTGATTATCCCAGTACTTTGTGCAGTGACAATGAAGTTGATTCCAACACTGAAAAGAATGAAAACAAGGTGTTTTCACTTATAAAATAAGTAATATGTAATATGTGAAATCTGCCAAAAGAAGAAGGGAAGTGTGCTTGGTAAGATATCTTAAAGAAGATGGGATATTTAGATCAGATCTTGTAATTAGCTGGCAACACTTATTTTTAACTATATTTTACGGGAATCAGGAAATGTTTTTCCAAAATAAGCCACAAATGCTCATAAGTTCTTTTATTTTTTAGATACAACTCAAAATAAGATGTTTTCAAGAGACCTAATAACATACAGTACTTAAGATGCGTTGTCTGAAAACAAGACCCTATATCCCACTGCATTGTTACTTTAGTACTTTACTTTTGAGTTATTAGCTCTTATATCAAGTGTAAAGACATATTCTGACTACATTTTAGACAAATATACTTGGCAAGACTTCCAGTTTGTGTAGTGAATCTGAATCAAAGGCAAAGACGTGAAATAAATCCTCAAACATTGCAGAGAAAAAGAGGAGGCTAAAATCCGATCATGGCTCTTTAACCTTATTTCCCCCCTGGACACAGTTCTATTTGGTTTCACCGTCTGACTTTTAGCTCCATTTCAGCCCCTCACACCGGACCGACACCGGATCTGTCTATCCTCTGGACTCTTCTATAAATACAAAGTATAATGAAGCAAGATAATGAGCCGCTGAGTTCACATCTCGCCTCCTGATCTCTTCACAGCCAGCTGTTGAGATGAGCGCTGTCACCTCTCGCTTCAGTCAGGGGGAAATTGTGTTTTTTGACTTGTAATGAAGGAGCAGGTTATAGGCTCAGAGTTAAAGGACGCCTCAACAGGACACACGGCTGATCAAACACCGCAAAAAGTCGATTTTCAATAATGTAAAAAATCCTAAATCAAGGAAATATAAACGTGTTTTGGGGCAGGTTTATGTAAGAGAATTTCAATGATGTCTCTCTGTTGCCCATAATGACCTTAAAGGTTTTACTGAGATGATATTACTGATTCTGAGTACCTTTTAATGCTTGAAGAGTGACCAGTATTTTAAAGCTGTTTGACCAACAATGGTAAATACAAAAATGCTTGGCTGAAGTCATAATGTATCCCTTCATATGTTAAAAAGCAGATAGAATTCACAGGTTTTGTGTCAATCTAAAACCAGAGCGCAGCAACGTTGTACTTCTATGATAAATACAGTTCACTTTTCACATCTGGATATCCACTAAGTAAGAGACAGTTGAACTGTTGGCACGTTTCTTATATCATTATGTGCCATGGACCCACCATAGCCAATATGTATTCCATAAATATTTCCCTTATGTCAAGAGGATGGCACTATTCCCTCCATGTTGAGCAAGAAGAGCTCTTTACTTTGTATCCAGACTGCTTGTTTTAAGTGTGGTTTAGGGTTAATGGCACCAGCATTTGCTACATTTGATCACATTTTCCTTCATATTGAGAAATATTTATATGATTTGCATCCAGACAAATGTTCTAGTTATTTAGTCTGGCTGCACTTTTGAGATACTTATATTTGTTTTAAAAAAACATTTTTTTTTTCTGTTGGTTGATGATTTTGCTAATTTAAGTAATACTTTGCCTCTTTTTATTGCAGTTTATTTTTGACTTTTTGCTGTTCAATATTTGACTCAGTTGTAAACATGCCAGAGAATGATGTGTGCAGGGTGGCCGCAGGGTCTTAAAAAGTATTAAAAGGCATTTTCCAAGGTATTACATTTTGTAGCTTGTTTCCAATAAGTATATAAATTGTCCAAAGAGGTTGTATTCTACAGTCTGCCTGAATGTAATCATTGCGTAGGTGTGTAGTGTGATTCTGTGTAGTTTATTTATGGCATCCCGTTGGATTTGACGTCATCTGAACAGGACATTGCACGCTCACTGCTTGATAGCGCGAAGGTCCGTTTACGCCGGTTGCTAAACAACATCGTTATGGGGAAATGCAAGTTTGCGTCCAAATGGTTGGAAGATAAGGAGGAAGGACAATCAATACTGTATGTAGTCAATGTGAGGTAAAGTGTGTCGCCAATGTAACCGGTTAAAACTCCAAGTGGCGATGAGGTCTTAAAATGTATGGAAAGGGTCTTAAAAAAGGACTTAAAAGTTATTAAATTTGACTTCAGGATTCCTGCATATACCCTGTGTGTGACTGTATTGTCATTTTAATTCTGACAATGCTTAACGATTGAAATGTTCACCCAAAGATTTAATGTTATCGTGTCTGCTTTGCAGGTTGTTGAACTGATCTCGAGTGCCATTGGTGACGTGGTTCAAGGAATCTACAACGAGAACACCAGTAATACGGAGGTAAAGCATCGTTTATACGTTTATGCCAGGACAAAGCCCAACATACTACACAGTTGGGCTTTGTCTGTTCTTCATAACTCCCATAAAAAGACTCAAAACAACAAAGAATGCATTCTAACAAGTATTGTGCGTCTGTGTCTAAAGCCTTTGTTGCCAATGTTGTGATTCATACCTTATTCTCCAAATATCAAACAAACAATTAATATCCTCCTCCAATAGTTTCCAGCTGTGTACAGAAATCAAATGAAATACTGCTTTGTAAATGGTTCTGAATCTAAGCGCTACAAGCTGTTATTAATAAGAAAAAGTACACATTTTGATCAATAACGGATTACAGAGAGTCTTTTTGATGGTAAACAGGAGTTTCTCTTAATGTTCTGCAGTGGGTCCTTTCCCACAGGAGTTTGATGTTGTGTAACTCAGACAGAGTTCCACTTCTGACCACTTCTTCTTCTGTCTGGTTATTCAAGAAATTGCTCGAGCAATAATTTAAACCTTACAATAAATATTTAAGATGCCCCTTTTCTCTATAAGTAAAAACAATTAATAACTGCGGAAATGTTTGTAGATATGTTGGTGTTTACTTCTGGTGCACAGTCTTCAACACGGACAAAATGAGCGAGTTTTTTCGTTTGAGGTGTTCTGATGAAGTTGTGCAGTTGCAGCAGGGAGCGCTCAGTGTCTCCACCCCTCTATTCACAGCAGGAGAACAGTCTGGATGTAAAGGCGTGGGAGGAGCACACCTTCCTGTCCCATGGTGCACTGCTGGCCAAGAGCTGCCAAGCTGCCATGGAGCTGGCCCAACACGACAAGGAGGCCCAAAGTATGGCCTACACGTTCGGAAAACACCTGTCCATGGGCCACAAGGTGAGTCACCTGATCCCCCCCCCCCACATACACTGAAAAAACTCAATTGTGTCTGCAGATTTCCAATAACTGTATTAGGTTAGTTGAAAGCAATAATATTACGTTTATGAAACATATTAGGTTCAACTTAATATTATTGCTTTCAACTAACCTAATAGTTATTTTTAAATTTGTTGACATAATGCATTTAATTAAAATCAACAGTTCAGTTGTTTGTAGTAATTACCAGGCAAGGTGGTCTTTGGAGGAAAAATATAATAAAAGTGCTACTATAAATGAGTGATGGGAAACAAGAACACATAACGGACCTCAGACTGGGAGCATATGAACACATGTCCTCTTCTCTCAGAAGTTCTTATCCATTAGTTCTGATTTACTTTGTATCTCTGGGATTCACCAATATTTCAAATATACATATATTTTTAACATTCCACAAAAGTTTTTGAACCCAAGTTTTTTTTTGTCCTGACCCAAGAATCAGACAATATATTAAATAAATATCTTAAAACCTAATTTGCCTTAGTATAGGTTTGAAAGTATTTAAATTTATTGGAAAACGAAATAAATAAATAATGCCGTTAAAACCCTTGCAGAGTGATATTGTGTGTGATAGTATATGAACATATTATATGAGTTGGGTGGTTGAGAACATTTGGTGCATCTGGAGTTGACTTCACTTCATTTTACTTACCTGAAAATTAAGAGAAAATATTACCTTATCAGTCCGGATATTCTTCCAAAGATTTTGGGATATTTTTATATTTTATCCAATGGGGTTTGAGGATTTGAACCCAAGGTGTCAGGGGCTTTGATATAGCTTTTTTTCACTCCTGACCACTGTACGTAAAAAGGTATTTTAATTTTAAGGACCTATGTACTAGTAGGTTTAGCCCGCCCTCTCCTGCTGCGGACCCCTGCAGCGGCCTGTCTGCAGGCCTCAGCGGCTACAAGGAATCTCGGCGGGGGGGGGACAGAAAAAATGTGTTTGAAGGACAAGCATCAGGCTAGCTGTGACTTACAGTGTACTGTTCCTGCTCATTAACAGCTTCACTCAGTGTTCTCTCCCCTGTGTGGCTGTAATTGGTGTCTGGAGGTGTAATCTCAGTCTGAATGTGCTCCATCTCCTGCAGCTCAACTCTGACCTGCTGCCGTTTGTAAAGAGCAGCGCAGGAGAGTCTGCGACATTCAGCTTTAGCGCCGCCCCCGTTGTTTTCCACCGTCAGATTGTCGGGCAGGAGAGGTGGAGTCAGCAGCTGCAGCAGGTAGGAATGGCCCCCCTGCAGAAATTACATCATACATACGTCCTACATATGTTTTATTTGTTTGAAAGGAGTCTTACAGGCTCTAGGGCAGGGGTTCCCAACCTTTTTTCCCAAGAACTACTGTCACAAACTGGATGAATGTGAAGTATTTTGTTAAAGGAGGATGAAAGCGTAATTAAGGAGCACTATTGGAGTGACTTTGATAGTTATTGGACTCAGGATTAATTCATTTGGATTCCCGCTGTATGAAGAAATTAAAGGACGGCGCAAGTGGAAACAATTCACAAAGTGATTAAACTGTTTAAAACACATGCTCAAAGTAAGCCGGATTTTGCCGATGTGTTTATGTGGATTCAAAAGTCGTAAATAATCTACAAAATGGAGGAGACCGATCTGATCGGAGCAACTGTGACAAATAATCCAACTGAAACCGGCATGGACAATGACTATGTTTTAAAAATGCGCTTATCCAGACAATCCTGGTTTGGACACTTTAAGGGCAGAAGAAACATTTCTATTAAAGAAAGAATTATACATTTCTGTCTTTTTATGCCTTTAATAGCTACTAACTTGAATTTTTATTAAAATTAATTAATCAATTATTTGTTATATTTTATTGTAATTTTATTGTTATAATTTATTGTTGCAATTATATGTAAAAAAAAAAAGATCTAAATATGATATTTGGCCTCAAATCATCTGAGGCCTGGCGCCCCCCCTGCGACCCCCAGGTTGGGAACCACTGCTCTAGGGGATCAGTTACGTGCAAAATGAGTAGGTGTCTGAGCTCAATTTGCATAATCTCAAAGTGTAACATTTCAACATTATAACGTCTCAAAAAGACTATATGTTGACAAAACTATGAAACAAAGAGAAACCAGATTTTGATCAAGTTAATGGTCCGTTTCATTTATCCCCTTTGAGTCTGTGTCAGTTTTATAAACTGACTTTTTATACAGATGTAAGCCACTTTATTACAAAACATTTTTAGATCTTCTTTTGTTTTTTTACTATAACACGATAAATTATTTTACTCATGGATCAAACATTTTCAGAAAAACAACAGCATTTTTCTTCAACAAGCAACCAAACTTGTCAAACGTGCAAGCAGACTGGATTTTTAAGAAGTTTTAGCCTTGAAAATAAGGGGGGGGAAAAAGCCTTGGAGGTATTTTAATTAATGAATTTTCTAATAATAATAATGCATTTTATTTATAGAGTGCTTTTCTACAAACTCAAAGACACTTTACAGAGTCAAAATCATAGCTTAAACCAATGCAATTAGATCATTTTTTTATATTTGGTACATTTTTTAAGATGAGGTTAATTTTCTTTTTCTTCAAAAATGTAGTCAATTTCAAAAGATGTTTGTTTTTGAGTATATCTTTTTTTTAAACATCATTTATTTCCCAAATGATATATTTTAAAAATGCATAATGTATTACAAAACAATATTCAGTTCAATCAAAATGGACTTGATTTAAAAGTTGTTCATCCTAATGTCCCATACCCTTAGAATCCTGTGTACTGTCACTGATAATGACTATCTTCTCTTCAAGGTAAAAACACGGAGGAATGAACTGGATTACTCAAAGGTAAGCCTGTGGTTTATGTATTCCTTTATTCACAATCTGAACTCCACTATGTTACAAAATGCTTGTACCCAGATATGCTTCCTCAGTTGCCTCTGTGCTGCGTTTAAGCTTTTATCATTTCACCTTCATATATTCACCTGTTTACTAGTCGGCAAGGCCTCTAACAGAGAGAGGAACAGGGCATTTTCTTGCTGTAACATATATCAAAGTTGAGAAACAAGCTTCCCAAAGTCAATGTGTGAGGGGTGATCGGGGTGCAAGAGGAGAGCGGAGCTGCAGAGGAGGGGTCTGACAGTGGTGTGGGGGTTATCTGGTCCCGCCTGAAACCAGAGCAGGAAGGATTAGTTACCGAGGCCTATTTACGGAGGAGACACCGAGGCTCTGAGACAGTGGCATTGTGAGAGAATCTCCTTCAGCAAAAAAGGGGACAGAGGGAGAGATTTGAAGGGAAGGAGAGATGAGGGGACACAAGGAGGAAAGCTGAGAGCTGCACACGGGGAAGGATACCATTTTGGGGAGGAACAAGAAAGACCTTGAGTGTAAACTTTTTGATTCAGAATAGAGATGGGGACGCATAACTGCAGGAACTTTGTCATGTGCTTTCATCCCGATCATTTTGATTAATAACTATCATTGTTTGCAGAAACTCCCATTTGACAGCTTTTCCATTTGGTTGAAAGCAAGTTCTATGGAAGCAATAAGATTACAATTAAAGTGTAATATGTACTAGAATTTAGATTTATAGTTATAGTATTATTTTGTTACCTTTTTAGAGGTATTAAAAAGATCTTAAGTCATTAAATGTGAGTTAAACAAACCTAGTGTCTTGTCAATATGATATACAGGACTGTCTCAGAAAATTAGAATATTGTGATAAAGTTCTTTATTTTCTGTAATGCAATTAAAAAAACAAAAATGTCATACATTCTGGATTCATTACAAATCAACTGAAATATTGCAAGCCTTTTATTATTTTAATATTGCTGATTATGGCATACAGCTTAAGAAAACTCAAAAATCCTATCTCAAAAAATTAGAATAGTTCCTCAGACCAAGTAAAAAAAAAAGATTTATAACAGCAAAACACAATCAAACATTTGAAAATGTCCATTAATGCACTCAGTACTTGGTTGGGAATCCTTTTGCACGGATTACTGCATCAATGCGGCGTGGCATGGAGGCAATCAGCCTGTGGCATTGCTGAGGTGTTATGGATGCCCAGGATGCTTCAATAGCGGCCTTTAGCTCATTAGCATTGTTGGGTCTGGTGTCTTTCAGCTTCTTCTTCACAATACCACACATATTCTCTATGGGGTTCAGGTCAGGGGAATTTGCAGGCCAATCGAGGACAGTAATGCCATGGTCAGTACACCAGTTACTGGTGGTTTTGGCACTGTGGGCAGGTGCCAGATCATGCTGGAAAATGAATTCCTCATCTCCATAGAGCTTTTCAGCAGACGGAAGCATGTAGTGCTCTAAAATCTCTTGGTACACAGCTGCATTTACTCTGGGCTTGATGAAACACAGTGGACCAACACCAGCAGCTGACATGGCTCCCCAAACCATCGCTGACTGTGGGAACTTCACACTGGATTTCAAGCAACTTGGATTTTGCTCCTCTCCAGCCTTTCTCCAGACTCTGGCGCCTTGACTTCCAAATGAAATACAAAACTTGCTTTCGTCTGAAAAGAGGACTTTGGACCACTGTGCAACTGTCCAGTGCTTCTTTTCCTTAGCCCAAGTCAGACGCCTCTTCCGTTGTCTTGAGTTCAGAAGTGGCTTGACCATGGGAATACGGCTATTGTAGCCCATTTCCCGGACACGTCTGTGAACAGTGACTTTTGATACCTGGACTCCAGCTTCAGTCCACTGTCTTTGAAGCTCCTCCAAATTCTGGAAGCGACTCTTCCTCACAATGCTGTTAAGGCTGCGGTCATCTCTCTTGGTTGTGCAGCGTTTCCTGCCACATTTCCCCCTTCCAACAGACTTTTTGTGGATGTGCTTTGAAACTGCACTCTGTGAACAGCTTGCTCTTTGAGAAATTTCTTTTTGTGTCTTACCCTCCTGATGGAGGGTGTCAATGACGGTCCTCTGGACAGCAGTCAGATCAGCAGTCTTCCCCATACTTGTGATTTAGTTTACTGAACCAAGCTGAGTGTTTTTCAAGGCTCAGGAAACCCTTGCAGGTGTTTCGAGTTAATTAGACGATTCAAGTGATTCGTTGAACACCCTACTAGTATACTTTTTCATGATATTCTAATATTTAGAGATAGGATATTTGAGTTTTCTTAAGCTGTATGCCATAATCAGCAATATTAAAATAATAAAAGGCTTGCAATATTTCAGTTGATTTGTAATGAATCCAGAATGTATGACATTTTTGTTTTTTTAATTGCATTACAGAAAATAAAGAACTTTATCACAATATTCTACTTTTCTGAGACAGTCCTGTACTCATATATATTCACCAGACGACCGAATAGATAAATTCTCTTGCTCATGAGAGCCGGATTAAAGCTGTTTTCTGCCTGAACAATATTCTGTCTGTAACACTACCGCAACTTTTTAAATTAAAGTATCACATTTGAATCTTCTCAGAGACTCCATTTAGTCTCATTACAGACAGTAGAATCTGTGGATATAGTTAATGGTCCTTTCGATGGTCGAACCCATCAAGTGTCTAAGTTTTCCCTCAGTTACCATAATAACATAGGTAACAAGACGATTTTTAGTTATGGGACACCAACGATTACGGCAGATTGTTCGGTCTAATCTCTTTCGACTGTGACGACTTGTTTGTAATAGGACTGTTTTATAAAGAAATTTGATCTTCCTTTTTGCTTGATAGGAGTGTCACCCAATGTACGTCCTCTTGTACTTCCGACACGGCGAGTGATTTTAATTTAAAACAAGAATGCGTGATGTAATGTTAGTCATTTTCCGTGAATTGTTATTTAGTTATTTCTGGACTAAGACTTGACAAATTCGTGGGTGTTGAAGAAGTAGGTCGAGAGTTAGTCAAAATACGATAAATACGAATCGGTACGTAATTTATGTCTGTGAAGTCTGGCCTAATTCTTTACACAATATCTTTTTTATATTAATGAGGGTATATCAGTGTATTAACCAAACTGATTTTTGATGTGAAGTTGATTGTTATCTCCTTCAAGGGGAAATTTTTTTTTTGCCGGGACCAGAAGACTGCCCGGTAGATTGACCGCTTTACAAACCTGTCAAGAAAGCGAGGAGTGACAAGAGTTTGGGGTTTGTCACCGTCGCCCCTTGTTCGCCGACCTAAAACAACTGAAGAAGGTGACTAACCTTGTGTTGTTGGTTCAGCCTTGTGGAGGGGAAACCTGGGTTCTTGGTGTCGTCTTCAGTTCAAAGACAATCCAGAGCCTTGTCGAAGTGCAGTCCACATTTTAAGGCTTGGCGGGAACTTGTAGCCGACATTTTGTCCTCCTAAAACATTTCTGGGAGGCAGAGTTTTTTTTCGCTCCTGGTCCAGGCAGAGTACCAAAACCCACCTTTGGCTACGGGTACGCAGACTGGAGTGCATCGACACCTGTGTTCAACGACACACCCCTGTTGTAGCTGGCATTAGAGATTAGGAAGATAATTAAATGTTTTATCAGACGATTTTACAAGATGAATCAACATTGAGAGTCTATCTGCTAATGGATGATCTGTTCTTAGGCTCCTCCCTAGAGTCATCTATAAAATGGTCATTTCATTCACGATTTGTTTAATTCAACTAGCGATGGAGTATGTGATATTCGTAAGTAAATCCTCTCAATTTATGTCTGGATAAGGTTGGGTCGTGTCGGAGGTGGGAGAGTGGACACCACGTCAATAGTGAGTAGCAACCGTAGCACGATCATTGGGTTGCCAACTGGCAATGTTAGGGCCACCGGTCTCCCTCATACGTTTTTCGGGAAACTTCCGGCTCGCTATATAGATTTCTCGGGTCTTCTCTATCGTAGGTGCATTTGTACCCCGCGCCCGTATGGTAGTCACATTGTAAGTCTCAGTTGCGCTGACTAGTCGCGAATTCCTGGCCGATTTAAGGTCCCGTTAGATTGGGTGTGGTACCCAATGCGAGAGAGAGTCGGCCTTGCTTACGACACCGAAGTAGACTTTTTAAGGTATTCCACTAGATTACGATTCTGTGGTGGTAAGGGTTTATGAAGGTGCCAAGACTTGTATGATTTTTCTGGAACGATGCTTCAGTGGGTGTACACGACGGACCTCGGACATTGATATTCTCACTTATTGTTTGAGAGTGTACCTGTTAAATTAAATGTAATCTTTCTGTAAAATTACTAAGTTTACTGGTAACCCTATAGACTCCAATGTTTTGGAAGCTCTTGGGTGTTCTACGTGTCGCGAAATTGTTGTTTTGTTATACCAACTGTTACGTAGTTCTTTCCCGCAACAGTCTGACAATACACACTTTGATCGTGAACGTTACCATGAAGTTCATTGACGTAGGTCACCCCACAAGTATTGCTCTCTCGCATATGTACTTTACTATCCGACTGTCGTTGTATAGAGTTATATTTTATCAGTAAAAAAAGTACAATAACGTGAAAAGCTTTTAATCATATATAGCAGTTTATGTTTCTTTTTTTCCGATAACTTGCGCTCAGGCACTAACGTGTACATTTTCATTAGCATCGGCACCAACAGTCGAAGTTTAGGTTGAGTCACCTCAACAAAGTTGGCGTTTGTTTCTGAGGTCTCTTTCTCGGCGTTACTCGCTGCACTGATCAATTTGTTTCAGCTGTATACCCAGCGGGTGGCGACGGGCTTATAGTCACAGTTGCTCAGTTAGCTGACCGTGTCGTATTTTGTAGGTGTTTTGTTAATTACGAACTATCACGAATTTACCACAGGATTACACAGAGTATATGGCGAATAGACAGATTATTATTTTAGAATGGAACACGGGTCGTACTTCTGTTAAGATTTTCTATGGAATACAAAAAGTGCCGTCTCTG